GCGGTTGTGTGTGAATCAATCGTACCCTCTCCCCTAATACAAACATATGAAGAACAGAGGGCAACAATAAAAAGGGGAAGTGGTGAGGGGACAATGAGAGGTCGCCATGGCGAATTTGGTGAGTTCGAAGAGTAGTAGGTATTCCGCGAAAAATATTTTTGATAACGCAATGAGACATCTGCGGACTGAAGATACCGGCGAATCAACGAAACGTAAAACACCTAGATTGTTTGAAGAGTGTATCATTGCTTGCTAAACCAGAAATAAGAAACTGACAGGATGACCGAAAAAAAAAAAACGGTAGAGAAAAGATCTGCCCTCTAGAACTCGTTTTCCTAGCACTACTGTGAAAAACTTCTATAAACAAAATGCCTGAAAAGTTTCACAAAAAAAAGCGGGCCTTATGTCGAGCATGAACACGCAAATGCAATCATCAACGCCTTGTTATGCTTTTCTCATAGCTGCACCTCCTTTTCCCATTTAATGGCTTTCTGTAAGTGCCACTACAAAAAAAAAAAACTACCTACATTGTTTTTTTTAATATGACTGACTGTTCATTTAGAGTGACAAGACAATTAAAAACAAAAATGAAGTGCAGGAGTTTTACGCGCCAGCACCACAATATCACAATGAGGTGCGAGTACTATAGAACGCCGAGTCAGCCATGATCGCTTGAAGTATTTTAACCAGTGATTAAATATAAGTGTACACGCGTTCTTCAATTCACTATCATCAACACGTAATCACCGTGGTCAGGATACGAACCCGCTTCCTCGGACGCGTGATAGAATACCACTAAACAACCGTGGCGGGTAACAGCAAGAAATACCGACGATCAAAAAGAATCATAGAGATTTTTTAATTTCCTTTTTACAATCCTGGCAAAGCAAAATATATTCATAGCTACTGCTCTGCGATTTAAACTAAATTATCATTTCTTCTTTCCTCTCGACCACTGCAGAAAAGAAGTAGTCCTGCACTCTTTTGCGGTGAAGCACGAACAGGCTCCTCATGCTGATTTGAGAGTTACATTCTGCCACATTTTCTAAATGCGACGCTGTTTTCGCGATAAAGTTTGAGAAGTACGCAGTATTCATTGTCGGCTGCTACTTACAAGTGGGAGATGTGAAAAATGTACGTCGTAACTGCAAGGCGCAGCACATTCAAAGCTCTCAGAAATATACGAAGCGATAAAATAACAAGCACAAGAATAAAATTAGCTTGAATTGGAGCCCGAGGGCTGTGCGATTACTCCATGCACGAAAGCGGAGTAGCTTTTGCGATTATTTCGAAGATCTGAACTTCGGAACACGAAACCATTAAAAGGCTTACACTGCATCACCCTCGTAACTAGCGGAATGCGTTTCCGGCCAACCGCAGCGCGCGAACAAAGTTGCCTTTCTTATGGCACCACCTTCGTGTCTTGAGTGGAACGGCACAAAGTTTGTTTCTTGTGCCAAATAAATGACGCGTGCATTGCGTGAGACGTGTGCAGAAAAAGCAGCATGCACGCGTGGTATTTTCATGGCATACATTACCATGCGTTATATTTCTGGCGAAAAGGCGTTGCTTCCCCATCAAATATGGCATTGTGGCATAGCGTGTGTTACACATAGAAGGCTGACACTGACTCGCTCACTTTCTTTCTTTCTTTCTTTCTTTCTTTCTTTCTTTCTTTCTTTCTTTCTTTCTTTCTTTCTTTCTTTCTTTCTTTCTTTCTTTCTTTCTTTCTTTCTTTCTTTCTTTGTTTTCATTTTTTTCTTTTTTTCGTTTCTTTCTTCCTTTTCTTTCTTTTTTCTTTCTTTATTTCTTCTTCTTTCTTTCCTTCTTTCCGCTCTCACATAGTGCCACCAGGGAGGAGAAACTTCTACCTTTTTTCGATGTCTTAGCTACGAGAGGCGTTCCACGACACCGAGTTAACGTTCGCTGTTATGCATTAGCGTATGCGTTTGCCGCTATCTCACAGTCACTGTATCTTCTTTTCGTCTTGCTTTTCACTTTTCATACTAGCTTACTACATTGTTTACATTTTGTTGCATAGCATTATCGAATCTTCTTGTATTACCGACTACTCATTTGCAATTCAAACACCTCGAACCCTAATGTTTTCTGAAAGCTTTTTTGGTTTTTCTTTCCAGGGTGTGCTAACGTGAGCATTATGAGTTCGAACACGCGAGTGCGTGGAGAATAGCCTCGCGTCCTGCATCGACTGATTCGCAGCGGCCGTTTTCGGAAGCAAAGTGGAAAGGGTGACGCGCTTCTTGTATCTGTTGACACTCCCGCCTCGGTATCATTGCTTCAAACCGGCAGCTTATTGCGCGTTAGCATGTGTCAGCGGTGATATGAACTGACATAACGCGCATAGCCACACCCAATCACCCATCAGGCTATGTAGCTGCTGAGATGTCGGCTGTGACGTAAGCTGCCGTGATTCAATCCCTGTATTATATGTAGGTGGTAATGGCTGCGCATTTTTCATACTTGCATTTCGCTTACTTTGTTTTTCGTTCATTCTTTTTCGTGTCATCATTGCTAGCAGGATATTGCATGCGATCATTTGCAGTTTGCTCACAACACTAGTGATGCGGGAGTGCCAACAGACAGTGGAATGGTGCGCCTCCTTTCCTATCCGGTTTCGGCAGCTCCATCTATGTATCCTGTTATCTCGGTTTCGAGGCTATTTGCCACGTGCTCGAGTGTTAGAGCTCATATTTCTCACGATATTAAAACAAATTTGAATAGCATTTTTCTATCACTGAATGCAGACGTTGCCAAAGAGATTACCTGATAAGACGGACGAGTCCGAAATATTGTGCTAAATTTTAGTGGACTGAAAAAATAATGATTTGGAATCCTAAAAAGAATGCAGTTTAGTTGTAACTAGAATAAATAGTTTTCTTACTTGTACGAAGTAAGAAACACTGTCTAGGATAAAAGGGGTTTTCTCGCATCAGCGTCGATAATTTTGCATAGGGACTCGAGGCAACGCTTAGCGGCGGAAAGCAGAGTGAGGAGCATTTTACATAGCTAATGTGTAACTTCAGCGCCTAAGGCAATAAACAAAATATACATTCAACCAGTTTCTATCATTAGATTCAGCACTTTTGATCGAGCCGGAATTGAAAGTGGTAAGTGTCAGCGGAAATAAAGTGCAGTAAATGTGAGACATTGAATAAGATAAGTGGCGCGCATAACAATGCGTAATGCTGAACTTGCGTCTACTTGTTGCCCACCGCTCGCATTTTTTTTTGAACTCCAATAAACTGCTACTTTTCGTGCATGTGTAGCTCAGGAACGCCTTGCAAAATACGTTGTTTGAAAACAAGACTGTACATTGTCAAAAGCAGAACAAAAATTTAGATAATTTTGAAAACAATGAGGATGCATGGTTAAGGTGACAAGAACTCTTAACACCTTTTTTTTTATCAAGTGACTAGCGCCTTACTTGTCACAAAGCCGGTTGGTCTCCGTAAGTGATCTGCGGCGGCTGCATTACCGATGGAGACGGAAATGCTGTAGACCCGTGTGCTCAGATTTGGGTGCATGTTAAAGAACCCCAGGTGGTCGAAAGTTTCGGAGCCCTCCACTACGGCGTCTCTCATAATCATATTGTGGTTTTGGGATGTTAAACCCCACATATCAATCAATCAATCAATCAATCAATCAATCAATCAATCAATCAATCAATCAATCAATCAATCAATCAATCAATCAATCAATCAATCAATCAGGCAATCAATCAATCAGTAATTGATCAGTCACAAGTCAATCAATTACAACTGATCGCAGTATATTTCTTAAGTTTATCTTGTTTTATAGTTTCTGTGAGCAAGTAACGAAGTATTAGTAACTGTTGCTAGGCTATTTTTTTAGAGCGATGATTCTTGGACTAGCACCCCACCGTCACCTTCATCGCCATCGATGATGGACGGTAAAAGTTTATTTCGTCAGAAGGAAATGGCAGACGACTTCGTGTTAGATCGCCATCAGCCCAAGGTTGACGGCGACCTCTGTGGCCCATTCCACGTCTCTTATCGGAACCACTGGCTCTGAGCTGGTCAAAACGGTCTCCCAGTGCTCAAGAGAAGGATCGCACATAATATCCACCGGTGGCGGGATCTTGCTACATTACCAGCGTAAGTGAAGCTCCCTACACCGGGCGAGCACGCCGAAAAAATCAACAGGTGAGTCCTTCCTGCAGATAGCTCGCGCTGCGCTGCGCGTGTCTCACACTCAGCGGTCGTTCCCGCCACTGAGTGCAGCAGACCCACCAGTTCCTCACCCTATTGCCTTCATAAAAGCCAGCAACGAGGTGAGGCGCATGGTCGTTTGGGTCCCATTTATAAGGAGCTTCGCTCATCGGTTGTATTTGTACGCGGAACAATGGCTAGTTTTTCATTAGTCTTGAAATCACAATCTAGTGCAAATATATCGTTACAATACACATGATGGCGAAATCAGATACACTTACTTCTCCGCGAACGAGTTAGTACGAAAGGTATGAGCTGCAGCGAAGCTAGGTTTGTCAGATAGCCGTCTGACTTTGCAACAAGTTGTTTGCACAATGGTGCCCTTAGTATAGGTAACAGGACATGGACATGGGCACGCGCAGAGCTCTGCATTAAGGGTAGCCAACTTTCACCGGAGCAGCCGCTCCCCCGCTCCCCCGTCCCCCTCTGCCCCTACCTACTGGTCGAGTCCGAAACAAAACAACGGATGAAGAAACGAAAATGTATCGATGACCTGCTTCTCACAACGGGCTGCTTTTGGTCCCCGGCTTTCCAGGCGTACAGGTGAAAAGCAAATAGCTGTTGGAAGAGAACGTCAGAGGTCCTCGGCCCCAATTTGGGTAAAAATCTTGCATAGCTATAACCCTTAACCTTAAATAACGATCACAGAAGTCGGACAAAGCAAAACTAAGGGACATGCCTTAACAGTAATTAGAAAAGGTGATGGAGGAGGGGGAGGTAAAAAACGGAAACGATAGTAATGCGACGTACCTGTATTGGCTTGCCGTCATGCGAGTGAACCTGCCCGGCGGCGACCATCATCTTGAGGGCCATCCAGGCAGCTTGTTGCGCGTGCGTGTGCACTTGCTTGCGCAGACCACTGGCCACGCAATAAGCGTCCCCGACCGTCTCGATCTGCGATAGCATGGTTGAAGCTTTAGGTTGCTCAAACAATGCCCAAACGGAAGCGTGGCATCACACACACAGAACGCTTCGTGTAGCTCGGTTGTGGCAGGTACACAAAAATATGAAGAAAGAAGAAGAAGAAGAAATACGTGGGGGGGACACGGTAGTTTTACTGCTATGCACAGTATACGAATGCGTTCGGTGAAGCTCACCGTTAAAAGAAACGATTAACGCTGGACTTGTAGCTGAGCATCGAATTCATTCATAGGGAATAAAGAAGCTGCTTCGAGGTAACTTTCGATGGTATGCAGCACCGTAACGTAAATCACGGCCTATGCGCTGATGCTGGATTGTGCGAATGGCGAAATTTTATCTCTAACCGAAGACACATCAAATAGAGCGGCATTTTGACCAAAATATCGAATATTGAATCGGATATTGGAAATACAATATTCTATTGAAAATAATAGAGAGGAGAAAAACAATTCAGAAGATCCCAAGTACCTTGGGAATAGATGTTTTGCGAAGCACGCGGAATGAAGGTAACCATGTTTTCTTTATTGTCTGGCACGTCAGGAAATGACGCTATATATATATATATATATATATATATATATATATATATATATATATATATATATATATGCGTGTGTGTGTGTGTGTGGCACGCACACACACATATGTTTTTTTTTGAATAGTTGCAGATGTGTATATAGCCAGCTGCTTGTACTTGAGCAATGACACCAACAGGAATATGAGTTCCGGAAGCGATAAGCTGACATGAAATGCTGGTGCTTGCGAAGAGGGTAGCCCTGGACACTGCTGCATGAATAATTTAGCGCGCGGTACCTAACTACATTTGACATTAACTCGTCCTGACGCCTGTATTATAAGAGTAAATATTGCCACGTTTTATTTCTCTTATCGCCCCAATATACTACACAATTCTCAGCGCAAACCGCGCCTGCAGTTTTCGAGAAGCTTCAGGACTGTAGTAGATCATTTCGATAAGATCAAGCCCTCTGTGCGAACGGTACAGATTGTTCTAGAACCTACGTCACCGCCAGCTATAACGCTAGGACATTCGATGGCAAGAGTACAAATGCCGACGCACTTTGCCACTTGTCAGTAGTTGATCGACGGCCGATGCTCCGTTCGCCGTTATCAGTCCAAGGCTGCTATTGTAGTCCGACTTTCCGTTTACTGGGCACAGGTTCGCCCATATAAACAATTTATTATTTGACTCGCAGTGTGCTCCATTCGTCCACCTCACGACACCGTGATAATATGAAACGTTTATGAAATTCGATAGCTAGCACTGCAGCCATTATTGACGTTTAATGAACATTAGGGTATATTTGACGAGTAGATCCAAGAACTCGCGTGGCTCTGTGTTAGAATGTTCGATTGCCACGTAGAATACTTGGGTTTTATTCCTGCTGAGACCCTGACATTTATTCTTTGCATTCGTTGAACGCTGCTGATGTCAGTCTTTATTAACACTCACACGTTAAAATTGCCCATGAGTGTTCTCGTAGTTCTTGGGAAGATTCATGTCTTGACCAGCGCGCCATCCTCGCCAAACCACCTTACACTCTAATACTATTTTTGGTTCACGCCAAGTTAAGGTTGTGCTCACGAGAGTGCCCAGACGTAAGCGGCTAGACAGGCAGACAGACAGACGTCAAAAGTGCTAGCAGTACGCAAAGAAATGCTGGAATGGATTGATGGATGGATACTTTATTTGATCCTTCGGAACGCGCTTCAGCACTTTGCGGGCCGCTCCCACGTCGGAACAGAATGACCAAGTCTCTCTGCACCGACAGAGCATATGTTCCAAGTTAGCTATGTCATCGCGGAAAGAATAATTCACATTTAATAGTCATAATATGTTTATATCCTCGAGCCCATAACGCGGTAAAAGACTTCTAACGAAAGATTACAATTTCTTCTGCACAAAAACATGCTGTTTTTGTAATCTAGCTTTAATCTCTCTGGCTCTGTTATGATTTTCCCTGCAGTTGAAAACAAGCGTTCACTGGGCTTCCCAGTAGCAGGATGTGAATCCGCCATGGTTGTGTATCGGTGGTGGCAATCTCACTGCAATGGAGGCGAAATGCCAAGGGTCAGTTTACTGTGCAATGTGGGAGCATGGTAAAAAATCCCAAGTGGTCAAATCTTTTGAAGCCCCCCCCCCCCACCCCCCCACGTCGTTCCTCATAATCAAATGGTGGCTTTGAGACGTAAAGCTTCAAATATAATTACATAAATAGGGACTGGCAGTTAAGGCGATGCCTGGGGGATAAGATATAGCTGCATGTTCTTTCTATTATTTCAAAAGATTATCCTTTGATGGGGTCGGGAGCTCATTGAGCTATTTTCGAATCTTTTGATATAAGGTCTGAGATCAATGAACAAGCTATTTTTCGACGTTCGCAATTTCGCAGTCTCAAAGACTGCTCCCAGGCTTTGTTTGCTGTAGCCATGACCTTCGGAAATGGCACAACCTTTAAAATGACATGCGCTCAATTTCGAACCGGGATTTCAGTGAAGGTTTCAATAAAAGGCCAACTGTAACGACGTTTGCGCGAGTTTTAGCCACCCCACCAAAACCATGCTGCATCGTAGGCCTTTGTCGCACTTGTGATATTCGTCCAGTGACATTATATTAAACTTCTAATAGCTATTCGAAAGTACAATGGAATTATTTTTTCATGTATTGTTTGATTCGAAACTCGTATGTTCGCGTACGCCTGGTTGATACCTATTTTCGAGAGAGGAGGAGGAGGAGGAGGATTGAAAGAGGAAGGTCAGGGAGGTTAGCCAGTTCTTAGACCGGCTGGCTACCCTGTACTGGGGAAGGGGGTAAGGGAGATAAAAGAGGAGAGAAAAGAGACGTTGAAAAAAAAAAGGGAGAGAGAAGGTCTTCAGACGATCCACGACGCTGCTCACAGTCTGTCTCTAAGACCACTTGCCCGCAGAAAGCGCAACAACGCTCTCAATGCCTTGCGTGCTGAGGATGGTTTCGGCGAGTGTCCTAATACCCTATCTTCCGACAATTGGCGATTGTCTAGTCTATCTAAAGCTTTCGACAGTTCTTTTCTTGGTACGCTGAAGCGAGGACACTCACAGAGTAGATGGGAAAAGGTCTCTGCGCAGCCACAGTTGTCACATGTCGGGCTGCTGGCCATTCTGATTCGAAACGAATAAGCATTCGTAAAGGCCTACCCAATCCACAGACGGCACAAAAGTGTCTCCCCAGCTCTCGTTATTCCTGATGAAAGACGGAGCTGTAGGTGTGGGTCCAAATTATGCAGGCGGACGTTGGCGAATGCCGGTGAATTCCACTGAGCGAGTGTCAGTTCTCGTGCAAGTTATCGAAGCCTTGCAGCGGCGTTCGTTCTTGATAATGGTATAGCTGCACAAGGGGCATCATCATGAGCAGATCGGGCTGCTTCATCTGCACGGTCGTTTCTATCAATGCTGCAGTGGCCTGGTATCCATTGATACGCTATGTCGCGTTGTTTCTCTATAGCCCGGTGATGAAGCAGTCGTATTTCAGCAATTTGCTGTTCGTTTGGTCCATGACGACATGGCGAGGCAATGCCCTGGAGGGCTGCTTTGGAGTCGGAGAAGATTGACAATGTCTGTTGTGGTTCTTCAACTAGGAACTTCAGAGCGGCACGAATGGCGGCGAGTTCTACCACCGTTGATGATGTCAGATGCGAGGTCCTGAAATTTATCGTGATGGATTTCTCCGGAATTACCACTGCGCTTGTTGAACTTGTTGAAGTGACCGACCCATCCGTGTAAATGCGAATGCGCCCACTGTGTTCTCATGCAGAAACAGTAATGTTGTTTTTTTAGGGCCAAATTTGACAAATTTTTCTTCTTTTGCAATCCGGGGGTGGTTGTCAGGGCTTCCAGTGGATGTAGACACCACAATGGCAAGGACGGTCTTGCTGCGTGCGTGAAGTTCATGGGAATCACCGTGCGAAGTGGGGCGATAATAGAGCAGAACGCAGAGCGTTGCCTGGAAGGATGTTATGTGTACACTATTGCAGATGGTTATGCCGGCTACGGGTCGGCACATCACTAACCGCTTCATTCAAAGCCTCACACTTACGTATGTCTGATCCCGGCCGGACAAGAGCAGCGGCACGCGCTAGAGTGCGCACGTGCCGCTCTTCTAGTCCGGCAGTGTTGTTCTGGTCTTCTGGGGTGCTACTCTGGACACTCTCTAATTCCGCCATATTGTCAAATTTTTGTAATGGCGGCATTTCAAGCCGATCAGATAGGTCGCAGCAGCTCGCTTGGCCAATTGGCATCGATCAATGGCGGAATTCGACGACATGGCGGAATTCGACTATCTCCAGAATATCACCTCTGAGCTTATTCTCGAGTTCGACGCTTACTGTTACGCGTTCAGGCGTACCTCGTATAAAGTTTGAACGAGAAAAAGAAACTTCAACCGTTGTTTTGTTTTTTTAACGTGACAGCGTAAATAGCTCGTTCTGTCAAAATTCCGGCGTTCGCATCGGCGGTTGTGAGCGAAAAATTATCTATTAGGCGTGACCAAAACATAGAGAACGACAATAATAAATAATGTATCAGAGTGGGGACCGAACTCACGTCACTTGCGTAGCAACTGGGTGTTCTACCACTCAGTCACACGTATGCTTTTGAATACAGTGAAAATAACTTTTTCTTTTGCAAGTGCAGTGAAAGTAACGCTCGTGATTTACAAGCACACGTGTCCTGTATACATGCTTCACAATAAAAGATGAAATATTGCTGTAATAATGCGTGGTACAAGCTTCTACTGCCATCGAGCGTGAGACTATGTGATTATCATAATGACTTCGTAGCCAATCACTCACTACAAAAGGCACACACACTACTGCGCATGTTCCCTTAAGGCTACGTGGTAAGTGCATAGCAAGTTTGAAAAGGTTTAATGCACTAAGTGTTTGAAGTAGGCACTAGGGACAGAATATTGTCTGGTTCAA